ATCAGCTGCCGAGAACAATTTCTACAACAGCAGTAGTAGTGGCTCAGGAGGAAGTATCCCAGCACCAAATCAGAATCACCACCATCACCACCACCATCAGCAGCAGCCTCCTGGATGCATGGTGTGCAGTTCCTGTGGCTGTAGTGGGAACTGTGGTTCAAGCGGCATGACTGTCAGTTATGCTAATTACTTCCAGCACCCCTTTTCCGGACCGTCAGTGTTTACTTTCCCATTTCTGCCCTTCAATCCACTGTGCAGCAGTGGCTACATCAACACACAGCAGTACAACAGCAGCTCAGCCTTCCCTATGGTTCACTCTCCTTACAACAGTGGCATAACACCAGACTCTGTCATGAGTGGGCAGTCTACATTTGCAGTGCCACCAATGCAAAGCTTTATGGCAAGTACAGCAGGGGTGTACCAAGCACAGGGGATGATGAGCAACAACAGTGGTACAGGCCATAAAAAGAATGGGAATCTGTCCTGTTACAATTGTGGAGCCAGTGGTCACCGAGCTCAAGACTGCAAGCAGCCACCAATGGATTTCAATCGACAAGGTTAGGAACATAATTGGCTTCCCAGAAGTGCAGTTGGTAGATTGCTCAGAATACAGGTTTGGCTGCTTGGGGAAAAGGGGTGGTAGATAAAGGAAAATCTGAAAATGGTCAGTAAAGTGATGGCAAGTCTGAGCATGTTCAAGTGGAATCCACTGTAGGTCTCACACTTTGCCAACAGTTTGTACTTTTGTGGATGAGCAGTAGCACTCTGAAGCAAACCTGAGAGAACCAAAGTACAGGAGTGGCAAAATGTTGCTCTGGCGTGAGCATGCAGAGCCCAGATAGTTTTGTGGGGTAATAAGGGGTTGGTTTCTTGTGGTAGTAAGCTTTGAGATTGCTCACGCTCAAAACCGGTATCCATGGTGCTCTTGCCTTATTTCACAGCTACTGCTAATATGTTCATTCCTTATCTATGAACAGCATGGTGCTCAACTGTGTGATGTGTCATTGCTTGTGAAATGTAGACTTCACAAAAGTCTTACACTTGCTGACTTGTATTTCTCTTCTCCATGCAGGTACATTTCGGTTAAAATATGCTCCACCAGCTGAAAGTTTAGATTCCACAGATTGACAGTAACTCCATGGACTTCTTTTTTTTTTGTGATGGCAAAAGCCCATGGAGTAATTACAGAATTTCAAATTGGAATCTGAGAAGTCCACTTGTTGAGCTTATTAACATTATTTTTTTAATCCAAAGGTGCTCTACTTCACTACACTAGGAAGAAACTGAAGCTTAGGGGTTTATCAAACCCATTTTTACTGATTTGCCAAAATTATAACATGGATCTTAAATGTTGGACCTTCCAGATGGGAGGTGAAACTGGCCAACTACCCTTTTTTTGTTGTAAACAAACTCCTGCACTTTTGCTGAAGAATGTTGCCATACTTTGATCTTCTGTGCTGGAAACTCGAACTCCCGGGCAGCTATGTTGTAATCTGGAGTGAGAGCTAGAGGTTGACGGTACAGTAGCCATTTGCCTGCTGGACTCTTGACATTTGAGGCTAGGTAAACATGTCTACTTTTTCTCAAAAACTAATCAGGCACCACACTCTGGGATTTTAAAGGATTGCACTACAGAAGAATGTATAATTCTATCTGCACTTTTAGCAGACTGAGATCAGTGCGAGAGACGTTCCAATGGTTGGAAATAGGCACCAGCAGGCTATGTGAACTTCTAATAAAGAAATCTTAACCCTCCCTCTCTTCCAAAAGAACAAAGATAGAAGTTTCAGTTCATTCTAGAAATGGTTATGCTATGCTTGTCGGCATTTATTTGTCAGTCATGGATTAAACTTACGTTTCCAAGGGTCTAGTGCCAGAGACTGAGCTCAAACAGGTCTTTAAAAAAATACTTTTCCTCTACAACTTTCAAATCTTACCATATATTAGTTTCTGCCACAGGAAACAGTACTCTACCTTTGAAACCGAGTTTTAAAACACAGACTCCTGCAGCAGAGTTTGCAAGTTGTTGCTTTACTTTGCATAGCAAAAGTCTTTCTACAAGGGCTCTTGCTTACAGGATATAGAAGTCACAAAGTAAGAAACAGCTGTACATCTTAACCACAACTCGGGTTTGTAGTCTGCCTCCTTTATTTGAAATACGTAGAGTATTGGCTTTGATGTTAGTTAGAATTCTTTTCCACTAAAGCCAGCAAAGCTCAGAACTGAAACATTGTAGACCTACCTGATCAAAAGGAGGCATACCTTTTTGTATTCATGCTGAATTGGTTGTAGCTATCTTCTTTCATTGATAGGGCTGAAGTTTAAACTGCCCCACATAGGACATTTTAGTGGCTGTGCACAATATGTTACTATGGAGGTGGCAAATGAGTATTTCTGCTTGAAAGTATTGTATGGTTGAAGGTGCAGGGAGGTGGGGTTGGCTGTATCACTGCACTGCATATCCATGAGGTAGTAAAACAGTGGATCTTGTGGAAATAATGGTAGGATTGACAGAAAACCAGGTACTCCACTATTGTTTTCTATATCATCAGAAATAAGCTCTATTATCCTTACCTGTTGCCTTTAAAAACAAACTGGTGTATTCTCTTGGGTGTAGGCATTCAATGGGTTTTGCATATTCAACTCTGGGAGAAGCTTAGCATGAGCTTCCTGCCATTTCTCAGCTTCATAGAGACCAAGTCCAAAGTTGTAAAAACACATGGTTTGTAGCAGCCCTACATCCAACTTCAGTTATTTCTATGCAATGAAGTGCTAGACTTTCATATCCTCAGTTTGGCTTTACCAAAACAGTATTACATATAGGGTTAGATCCAACCCACAATATTTAATTATGCGTGTAATGACTGAACTTCTGAGACGGCTAATAGAGGTGGATACCATTAGGAAACTTGTAAAACTACCAGAGGTAATGAGAACTGACAGAGCAATTTACTTTGCCTTAATGACCCTGATTGACATCAGCAGAAACATGCCACTCTGTACTAAATCTGTCAGTTATTGTTTACACTTAAAAGTTGGGAGCCTTCCCATTGGCCCAAAATGTGCCAGAAGCCAAATGTATCAGTTCTTAAACAGAAATAACCAAATACCATACAAACTTTCCAGGATCAACAGAAAGCCTTTATTAGGCATTTAAATTGGAAAGTTTCTAGAAACATGGCCCCATGAGCAGTATGATGTTCAGAAATATGGTTTCCATTCATATAAAAAGAAAGCTGTCTCAGCTAGCTGTTGGGCTGTCAAACAAAACTATGTTTAACTTAACTAGTGGACAAGTGGAATTACCAGGGGAAAGCTTTGGAGAGCCAATTGCCTTGTTCGTTTCTAAAGGTAAACTGAGACATAGAAAGGCAAGCCTACATAGTGACTTAATTTTATTAAAGCTGTTCTCTACTATTTCCTCCACAAAGTGGCTGCCAGTGTTTCATACAGGCAGAGGACTTTGAAGCAAGACTCAAGTGCAAGAGGAATGGACACTAGCTGCATAGATCATAGTTTGGCTGAAACTTTACACTAGAGAATGTAACTTGCGTCATGAAGAGAGCATAAAACAGAACCATCAAAAGCCCTTGTCTGTATGAAACAAACTATGTACTAAAAACTGGCATGGCAAACTGCTGGAGAATTGCTATTTGCATATGACTAAGGTTTTAACTAGGCATGACTTAGTTAATGGTAAATTTCTCGAGCAGTATGCAGGCCCATGCCTGAACAAAGAAGGGTCTTTCTTAATTATGTCAAACCCTTTTTTTCATGCCAGCCTAGAATTCTGTTAGAGACACCCAAATGTAAGCCACCCCAAGTAAAAGGCAAGTTATTCAATGGGTACAATACCATTTTATGGGAAAAGCCCTAAACTGAGGCCAACTTAATTATTTTAAGGTGGGAGGGAAGGGTGAGTATTTTGTTTTGCTTCTGAACAGACACTTATAAGCCTCTTACGCTGCTTTACTTAGATATGGCCAAAGGCAGAACCTAAAATAGTAATTCAGAAAGCAACAAATATTCAAACAATTTTTACTCTTCCAACTACCTTTGGAACTATTTCTGCATACTAACTTCTTATAAACATAGGAAGAGCCTATGTCTTGCAGCACAGGTTAACATCTTTCTTTTCAGAAATAACTTTCCATTAGGAATGAAGGAAACACCTCTGCCCATTTCGAGCCATTTCTTTTACATTATATTACAAATGTGCATGTAACTTTATATAAATATTAAAAGTTTTGTAAATATTTAATATCCACCTAATTTGATTTTGAATTGTAAATGTCAAGTATTCTGGTATTTGAATTTTTATGTTTTATTATACTTTGTTAAAGGTAAAATTGTACATTTTTAGAATGTTTTTATCTGAGTAAATTTAATGTACTGAACAAAAATTAAAGACTATAATAGTGTCTTTTCTGACATCCTCACTTTTAATATTTTTTTTCCATTTTCAGTGGGAGCTAAAGAAAACTTACTGCAAGCGCAGCAGGTTCAACCAAAGGCTAACATAAGCATGCATTGTCTCAAATGTGGCAGCTGTAGACAGGTACTGCAGAGCTATCCAACAGCATTATCTGCAAGTTGTCCATTTTAGGTAGGTGCTCTGAAGGGTACAGAAAAGCCACACTGCAGCCTGGGATATCAGTTTCTTCCGTCAGGAGCTTTTCCATGTTCTCATACAGGTACTTAATTCTCAGTTTCATTTGGAATCCAGTATCTTGCCCACACTCAGAAAGCAGGCATTGTTGATTTTCATAGCTCAAGCATCTTCACAAGTGTCATTAGTATGGCCACAGAATCTCCTACTTTTGTGACAATGTTCTATTCTGCAACAGTAAAGGAATCTGAGCCAAAGTTGTGGGAGGCTGAAGGCTTTTGTTCAATTCTGTCTACTGCTCTTCATATACAGCATTAAGATCGTTTTAAAATGGACTTGTATATAAGCTTAACTTCTAATCAAGTTGAGATGGAATCATCCATTTCAGCACTTTAAAAAACAAAAGAAAAATCAACATTTATACAAGAGCAGCCATTAGCCCATTGTAAGGATGGCTGTCTTATGAAGAAATAGTAACTGAACAGAAGACTTTAAAATTTTACAGTGAAGTAAAAGCTCACAGTGAACTTGTTAGAAGCAAGCATTGAACAGATGCATGCAAAGGTAGAAACTGCATGTCATATTGATATTTTACAGCATGTCAAGATTTAGCCTCTTCTCCACATAATAAAAATTTGTTTGCTATAACATATAATTAAATTCACATGCATTAATATACAAGGATAAGTCTTAGCTTACTACATTTCACTGTATAACAAATGGGGAAGCAGGACACTATCTGAATTACTTTCCTTTTGCACAGGACATACCCTGTTTACAGCAAAATTTAAGTCCCTATGCAACTGACTGGAAGCAGTGATCAAACTTCTTTGCAACTTTAAAACAAAGGGAAATTCTTTTTGAGTTTTGATAGTTTGAAATGCAGCTAAAGGAAACAAGGGCTTTCTGCCAACGAGGAAATACAAAAATGTTCTTCATGTATTTCAATGAAAATCAAGAACTTGGGTAGCGAGGTTAATATGCTAAATATAAAGAAACAATTCAACAGCTGCGATGTTTACTGCCAATGTTTACTGTATTACTTTGGCAATTGGCTAACCTCAAAACCCTGCTACCTCCCAATGCTTTCTGACTGACAAAATGAAGTCCTCTTTGCTGAGGGTTTGGGTTGATTTAATTAGAATAAATTTAACAAGGTGTAGAACAGAATACCAAACTCTGGGTAGACGGAAGCTTTTCTTTGACAACAGTTATGTATATATTTCCTAAAACTAGCATAAAGCTGTGATGTTTGGTATATAACAATAATTAGCAATCTGATGTTTTGCCTTCTAAAGTAACAGTACCAATGAATTAATGCCCACCCCTTTCATCACATGCATCAAAAAAAGGTTAAAAGAAGCAGACCATTACTCCTATTTGTTCCCTTTCTTAAAAAACAGTTTTCAGGAGCTGAAACATGACTTAACATTATGAGATGTCACACGCAAGTATTTCAGTTTGCTGCTAAATGCTAGCCCATTTTCTATGATTAATGCAAACATCCCTTTTATTGGCAACTTAACACACACACACACATACAGTATAGTTTAAAATTCCAGAGGCTTAAAGCAAATGTGCCTGTGCAAATTTTATAGCAGGTCTACAAAGCTGCGCTGCTTGTCTATACTGGCACTCATCTGTTCAATATTCACAAATAAAACAGTACGGTGAGAATACCCGCTAAGCACAACTACTGTGAGCAGGTTGGTGACATCCCTTTGTTTTTTCCTGTGGGAGGGAGGGGTAAAAACTATCCTAGGCTACAAGCCACTGGGGATGGTTTACACAGATTTCATTCCAAATGTTTCCTGAGAGGCATACACCATGTACAGGAATCCGTCCTCGTCCTTTTCACTTTCATACACCTCCGAAATTGGTGTTGAAACGCTCACCATGCTGTGTCCATTCACCAGTAAGAAGAAAGCTTGATTGGAATTCAGCTGCAGCCGACGCCTAGAAGACAGGAAACTGAATGGACACTTCCCTTGGAACATGGCTAACAAATTTAAATGCAGAAGCAAAATACAAAAAAAGAACTGCCTTTGGAAATTCCAGGTTTAGCAACAGTCTCCTCCTTTGCCACATCCAAGAATCACATGAATACCAGAAAGCATGTGTGATTAGAGCACTTCTGAAGGCAGCCTCCTCACCCAAGCAACATCAGAGGGGAGGGACTTGCAACTACACTGATCTTATAAAGCCTCAAGTGAGACACTTAAGGCCTGCTGTGTTGCCTAAGAGGAAGGACAACACTGCTAGAGATAATGTGCATGTTAGGTTGTTGCTTTTAGATGCTAACCACCCATTTTAACCATTTCAATGGACTACAGAGCACATCAGTGCCAGCTACAGCAAGGAGTTTACTCAGTAACAGGCATCACACTCCAGAATTATAAAGAGCCCATATAATCAAGTTCCCTTTCTGTGAAGAGTTAGCAATAGAGACGGAAAGCTGTGTCAGCGTAATTCCTGTTACGATCAAGCATCGGCAAATATGCTTGCCATGCAGACCGCTCCGTATCAAGCAACCATCCAAACTTTGAGGATGCAGAGGTGGGCAGGGATTGTCTGCTGAAGATCTCTGCCACCTTCCAAGTTGGGTGGAAAACTGGCATCTGCATGGCAAAGGCAGACCTGAAGAGCCTTGGCTCTAACAGAACCAACACAGCATCCCTCCCCCCACCAAAAAAACCACCTAGCCTCTTTCCTGCTGCTACCACTTCCTAGAGGCATACAGAACAACTACAGGCAGTGGCACTGAACAAAACATTCAACCTCTGAGAAGTTGTGGCACCTTCAGGCAATGGAGCCCAACCATGCACACTCCCTGCCAGGCTTTTCTGTAGGAAGGAGGGAGGCTTAGCAAGACCAGTTTGTTTTAGTTTTGTTTTTGATTTGCCAACAAGTAGGTCAAACACTCTGGACCTTTGTTATGATTGTTACTTGACTTTTTTTTTAAAAACTCACTTGGGAAACCCTTAATATATAGCACAAGCTACTGTCCTGAATGAAAGACCTTTCAGTAAAGCAGGTAGGTTAGATACCTGATAATCTTGATCAGCTCACTCATGTTGACATGATCTGGGACCAGAAACTTTGTTTTATCCAGAATGGGAAGTTGCTTTTCTCCTTTATACCTTTCAATGATTACCTGGAGGAAAATGGTAAAGTTAGGACTTATAATTTAGGACTTTTCAGTATGGTGAGCCACAGGCATATTCTTGCTAGATACCTATGGGTTTGTTTAATGCAATTCTACTTTGTAATACAGTGGTTTATAATTTTATTATTTCTATCATTTTATTGTATGCCACCTTGCATTTTTAATGAGGCTCAGCATTGAAATTCTTAAAACAAACCCAGTCACCTGAATTAAGCTGTGAAAAGGAGCTGCAATAGAGAAGACCCCAGCCTTGTGGGGAGAACTAATTCCGTTCCTGGCACAGGCTTGCAGTGAAAGGCTAGCGTGCCCTCCTCCCCACCTGTCACCCCAATTTCAGCCCCTTCTCTTCTCCATTCAGTTATGCATAAACAGGGCAAGAGGACTACAATCAGGAAAACCTGGAAGCAGCAAACAATTGACTTCTGTTATGTAAAATGAAATGGAGGGAGAAAATAAAAATCTTAACTAGGGCAAATATCTTTGCAGCCTCTAGTATGGATGATTTCACTGCTAGTCCCCAAAGTGCACGTGTTGCCACTACCTACCAGGTTATTTCCCTGATTTAAGTCTCACCAAATGACAGACAATAGAGTTGAAAGTCTACTCACTGGTATCTTTGTAGGATGCTGCTCTCGAATAAGTCTGACATCTTCTACTCTTTGTTCTACAGGGGAGAAAAAGAAAGTTGTACTTAAATGCTTGAAGAGGCAGTGTTGTCAGATATATAATATCTACACAGAACAACCTGTTATATTGGTGTTTCATTGCCCTGGAAGAGAAGCACACACAGAGGCAGTAGTTTGTAGGAAGGGTAGGATATAAATCAAATAAATCAATAAATCATAAGCAGAATGAGAGGCGCTTAAACCACACCCACATTAGTATACCCAAGCTGATAGCATTAGAAGCAAGGTTAATTGGCAGTCTTTCTAGATCAGGGTGGGAATGCAACTCAAGCGCTGCTGAAAATTCATGCAGGGAATGAAGAAGCTACAGTGGAAAGGGGGAGGCACAAGAGAAAAAGGGGTACTTGCCCACTTTTGACTGTAGCCCCACAAATGAAGCTGCTAACTGATGCCACCCCCCACCATACCTGTGTGCTAGTAGAAATTCTGCAGCACAATTTATTAACAGGAAGGGTGGGGACAACTTAAGACAAACTCGGGGGGGGGGGAGAGAGAGAAAATGCCATCTGAAAAATAAAGAAGCATAACCCTTCATAGTGAAAAGTTAAAGTAGGCAAGTTAAGTTGGAGAAGAAGAAGAAAGTTGAGCTTAGTTGGTTTAAAGGCACAGAGTAGTACAACAAATCTGCTAAGGCTGAAGTAGTTCTAAATCTGAGAGCATCTGGGAAGCCCAAGGACCCAGTCTGAGGGCCATGGGAAAGGAGCAAACACAACAAAGAGTCTTATCGCATAAGACTAGACTAGAGCCCACTTCACAGCTTATGTCATAATGAAATGTTAGTTTTAAGGTGCAACAAGACTCTTTGTTTTTACTGCTAAAAGGACTAGAAGTTAGTGAGAAAACATGGCTATCCCCTCGAGGAAAAGTGCTCTATGTAAATTAAAAGTATAAAATATTAATTTCATCAAAGCATTTTAAATATATATTGTAGTTATTGCATTCTTAAAGCTAAAGAGCTTCCACTAGGTTTCCCCACCCCCAGCCTACAGGACTGTTGGTGTCCAAAACTCCTTTGCAAAGGAAAACAAACAGCTAGAACGACCTTTACTTTCGTTTTCAGCGGCACAGCAGCAAAACAAAGCCTCAATTCTTTTTCCACTCCAACATGCAAGCAGGAAAACCAGTTTAAGCAGAACAAAAACAGTAACAACAAAAGCAACAGCCTGAGTCTTCCTGTATTTCTTTTTAAAGTGATAGTAATAACTAATAAATTTACAGTAGAACCTAACTAGGGCTTGTTACATCAGGATTTTTGGATCATATTACGAAGCTGAAACTTGGTGGACTTGGCTGGAAGGCCAGCTAATTCACAAGCCTTTGCTACAGCCAATATTTGTTATTTAATCTGTCACTAACTCCTGAGAGGTGGAGGTAATTGCCCAACGTTGTTCCCAAAACTTCCTGCTTCTGTCTGGAGGTCACCCTCTGTTTTGGTCATCAACAGTATTAGGAAAATTGCAGCCCAATGATTCAACATTACCCTCTGCTTCCTCACATAACAACAAACTGACACAGCAGATCGGAGACAAACAAATCCATGGAATCCAAACAGTTGAACTGCTTAAAGTTGTGCAGGCAATACCCAGGAAAGAATAGGGAAGGGGATCCGTCATAAGTACTGAATACTTTCACGTCGCTAAGGGAAGACACCGCAGATAAAGCCTGGGAATGAAACTACAGACACATGCAGCATCCAGACAAGAAGTTCTACGCTACAGCATCCAGCATACTGTACAATATACTCAAGATAAACAGCACCATCTCCAGTGTTTTGACAACTGATCAACAAAGGGTAGGCCCACCACCCTCTAAGTGCTGGGGGTGAGGGGAAAGGGGTGCTACAGCAGAGTGCAGAGCAGGCACGATGCCAGGCAGGGAAAGAGGCTGGCACCGGGGGGGGGCTGTTTACTCCTCTGGCTCTTGAGCTCCACGGAAGCCGGCAGAGCCGTCAACAGGCCCTGCATTCGCCTCAAACACAACACCTCAGGCCCCTCCAACCCCGGCCTCCAGCCACCAACAGTCATCCTCAGGGCTAGCCTTCAATCCTTAAGGGGTTTCAAGGGGGGGGGCGGAAAGTAATGCAAGGGGGTCCTCCTTACACTCCCAATTTGGGGGTGGGGGTGGGGAATAACAGTCATGGTGGGTGGTGAATCACTCTGCCCAAGATCCAGAACTAGGAGATGGGGGAAAAGGTGATTACTGTATTAAAGGGGGGGATACGACTGTGCCACCAACCCATAAACCCGCCCCCCATGGCCGACGGAGAGTGCGTTAACAGGCCAAGCACCTTCTCAAGGACCTCCGTGAAGGAAGAAGGGGGGAGAAGCCTCATCCCCCCCCAACAATGGGAGGGGGTGTTTTGCCTTTTCCTCAACTCTTCTTCTCTTGCCCCAGCGAGACCCACTTACCCTCTCCCCACTGCCACACATATAGCACACATAGCGCCCGCCGCCACGTTCATGGACCATCTCCCCAGCTCTTCCCTACTTCTGAGTATCCCCCCTCCAGTCACCAAGCTCCCCCCCCCACTCAAATCCACCTCGCAGGTGTTCCCTTGGCCGCCCCACTTGATGTGGTGCGTCTCTCCCCAACGCCCCCCCCCGACTCAGTAACAGCCCCCTCTTGCCCCCCCCCCTCGAGGGGCTAACTCACAAGCCCTTCCCCCACCGAAAGTGCGTCGCTGCTTGAAGCTCTTTTCCGAGGGCATCGCGGCGGCGGCGGCGGCGACTGGCTCCTCCTCCACCTCCTTCGACTCTCTCCCCTCTCAGCGGCGCGGACCATCCACACCAAAACCCTCGTCCGCGATCAGCTGACCAACGAAGCCCCGCCTCTCCCGAGCTGATTGCGTCACAGGGAGGGAGGGACAGACGGACGAAGGAAGGAAAAGCAAGAGGCCGGGCATTCGTAGGCTTCGCCGCGCGGTAGTGCGCGTGCGTAGCGACGGAAGCCCGACGCCTCAAGCAAGGAAGAGGAGAGGAGAAGGAGGGGAGTCGACGTTGGTGACGCGAGCGCGCCTGCGCGGGCGAAACGAGCCGCGGGCGGGGGAGTCAGAAGCTGAGCCTGCCGCAGGGCGGCGCCAAAACAGTGACTTCATCGCGCACAAACGCAGCCCCGCCCATCACCATGGTTACCATATCACCCTCCCCGGAGGAAGAGAAGGCCTCTGGTTTGGTTTTGCCGCAATTTCCATATTAAAGAAAGAAGTTCCCCTCATCTCACGATCAAGCACCTGGGGCGGGATCTGATCTGAGCAGATAAAGATCTGGAGCTCATCAAGTAATACTAGAGAGCGGCGGGGGGGGGGATATTTTGAACATATGCAAAACACTTTCCTCCCCGTCTCCAATGTGCAATTGAAAGCCCACAAACAGGACCTGATAGCATTGCCCTCTCCTGTGTTGTTTCTCTGTAACTGGTATTCAGATGCATGCCACCTCTAATCCTGGGGGTATCATGGATATCCTTCCCTTAATTTGCCTAATCTCTTTTCAGAGCCATCTATCTGAGGCCATTACCACATTTTATGGGCACAAATGCCATTGTTTATGTGTTGTGTGAAGAAGTAGTTCCTTTTGTTTGCTATAAATCTCCCACCAATCAGCTTTATTGGAGTATTATAGGGGGGGCATGCCTTCCATAATAATTCTTTTCATATTTAAGGTGACACAACATGTGTGTTTCCAGGGCTTTGCTTCTAGAAAAAAGGTGCTGGTACTGTGTACCCTCTGAGTACCACCAGGAAAAAAAACACTGTTTCTCTCTGTAACTTGTCTCTGTTAATTGCATTTGTGGCCAAGAAAGGAATGCCAAATCCATTGCAAGATGCTCTGACTGTGTTCTACAATAGCAGATCAGCAGACATTTAATTACTGATTACTCAAAGCCAAGTATTTCCTGTAGCTGCATAAGCCTAACATTATAATGGCACTTACAAGTGTGATGTCCTTGAACTCTAATAAGACATGTCATACATTTTATTGGAAGAAGAACTTGTTTTGTTTTCCCCCTTTCCCAGCCACATGGATCTCATTGGCTATGACTAGTTTGAAGGACTGGTCTGCTCAAAACAACACTGGAAAAGGAACTGGCATAGTTGTTTGACAGAGCCTTTATACTCTGAAGTCGGATGTCAATTTCAGAGGAACTTCCAGCATGCAGCTGAAACAGAACAAAGAGGCAGTTTGACAGACAGCTGTGGGACTTCTGCCTGTCAAACTCTGATCCCAGAGACAAAAACAAATTAATAATATATCTCCAACAACAGATAAATGACATAAAGCTTTATTGAATTCCAGAGCCATCTGGTTGGCCACTGGAAAATGAGATGCTGGGCTTTGGTCTGATTCAGTAGGTCTAGTGTCAGCACCTTGTGTGTTTGGGTAACTGTTGGGCCCATACACCTGGCAAGGTTCACTGGGGCTTGATGCCTGCCCTGCCTTCCCTGCTGCAGTGAGTGCCACTGAGCCTCCCACCACCACCAATCACTCCCCCACAGTCCCCAGATGCCAGCTGGCTCTGTTAATGTTTGAAGTTTCACTCTCACCACATCAATCATCTGTTAGGTGGTATGAAAGAAGAGGTGACGGGGCACATAGCAGGTGACTGACCCCAATTGCAGGTTGCCAATGCTACATAACTCCACTCCCAGTGAGGCTTCCTTGGACCCAGAACCAGCCTGTGCTCCCCATGCCTAAGTTTGTTTGGGTTACATATACAGTAAAAGGAGTCTCTGAACTAGTACTGTATGGGGCTATGTAGGCAAGGAACTGAGCACCCATTCTATTAATAAGCTTTTATTTTTATCATAATACAAAGTAAATAATAATAATAATCTATTATTTATACCCCACCCATTTGGCTCAGTTTCCCAGCCGCTCTGGGTGGCTCCCGACAGAATAATGATGATGGTGATGGTGATGGTGATGCAATAAAACATCAAACATGAAAAACTTCCCTTTGGAACACTGCTCCCAGGTAATTCAGACAAGCACCTACAATTTTGATATTTCATTGCCTGCTGAAAACATTATGTTTTGCCAAGCATTTTTAGATAATTAAGGGACACGGGTGGCGCTGTGGGTTGAACCAATTTGATTCATTGTTGGTCTTTCAATCTGTATTTTATAATTTTGTTAGATTTTATTGTATTCCACTGTGATTTTTTAAAAATTAGTTGGCTCTTTGTAAACTTTTTAATAAATAAAAATAACAGAAAAACCTCCAGCACATTGACAGTAATACATTGAGGCAAACTACTGTACAGTGTTCAATCTCTCTTGGTTAAATGTATTCCTTTGTATGATTTGAGAAACTGAGCACCCATTTCAGACAGGCCTGAGAACCAGGAGGCTGTGAGTTTATAGAAACCTCTCTAGTTTGCACTAAGCTTAGTTTTGTCTCAGAATGAAGTCCCATATTACAGATGGGTAAGCAAGTAATGATGAGTAAAGCTACCATCCAAGAGAATGAGTGTGATTATGACTGTCTCCCATGTGGTAAATTTTTAAAGGATATTGATTTTTTAAATGCTTTGACTCAGAGCCATTGGCTTGTGGATTGCTGGCTGCTTGTGCAACTAGATAATATCAGCAACGTTGCAGTGCAATTTTACTCAAACGTAAGTCCTACTGAATTCAGTGCAACATACTTTCAGGTAAATGTGCATAGGATTGCAGTGTTAGATATTTCCAATGTTGTACTCCTTTGCACTGATACCTAGGAACAAGCACCCTGGATTACAGTAGGACCTACTTCTGAGTATACAGTCATATAGAACCACACTGTATAATATTGATGCCTGCCACTCAATCGCCAAGTGGTGCGATGTTCCAGGGTTTCCAGGCACACTTACCCAGGGTCTGTGTTTCCTTTTGGAAAGGTAACACAGTGGAGACTGTGGTGCTTTTATGATATATGGCTTATTTACACATATAACCTGAGCCTACAATGGAGTGGTTCACAACATTAACACTCCATGAGGGTCTTGCTTTTCCCATATGTGCAGCCCTGGATTCAAACAGACAATAGCCATGGCTCTGCCTGTTGCTTAGCATCTTGCTCACATAACTGCTAATTCTCTCTTAGCTGTGTGGCTTTATCTGTAGGGGGAGGGAGAGGCCTCATTCATTTGCCTTTTTAGACAGAGTTCTGTGGTCCTTTTTTGTTCTTAATGGCACATCCCCAGGCTATCGCCTCATGAGGAAGTTGTTGTTGTTGTTTAGTCATGTCCAACTCTTCGTGACCCCATGGACCAGAGCACGCCAGGCACTCATGTCTTCCACTGCCTCCCGCAGTTTGGTCAAACTCATGCTGGTAGCTTCGAGAACACTATCCAACCATCTCGTCCTCTGTCGTCCCCTTCTCCTTGTGCCCTCAATCTTTCCCAACATCAGGGTCTTTTCCAGGGAGTCTTCTCTTCTTATGAGGTGGCCAAAGTATTGGAGCCTCAGCTTCACGATCTGTCCTTCCACTGAGCATTCAGGGCTGATTTCCTTAAGAATGGAGAGGTTTGATCTTCTTGCAGTCCATGGGACTCTCAAGAGTCTTCTCCAGCACCATAATTCAAAAGCACCAGTTCTTTGGCAATCAGCCTTCTTTATGGTCCAGCTCTCACTTCCATACATCACTACTGGGAAAACCATAGATGTAACTATACGGACCTTTGTTGGCAGTGATCCCCTTCATGGATCACTGCCTTGCCGTGGTGAAGGGGCTTGAATAACTCAGAGAAGCTATGAGCTATGCCGTGCAGGGCCACCCAAGATGGACAGGTCATAGTGGAGAGTTTTGACCAAATGTGATCCACCTAGAGCAGGAACCGGCAAGCCACTCCAGTATCCCTGCCAAGAAAAATCCATGGACGAAGACAACAGGCATGAGGAAGTTAGCCTTGTTTAATTAGCTTTTAACACTTGCTGATTCAAAGTATTGTCTACCACACAGCTTAATACACATGGATCTGGCGTAATACGCACGAGTCCTGGTTTTAACACTCCAAGCATTGATTAATTTCTAACACTAGTTTATTCAAGAGATTATAATGGTCTAGCACCCACAAACTCATAACAATATCTCTGATAGGACACCTGCGCCTTGAACCTTAATAAATGACTGTTACGTGTTTAATTTTGTATCAGATATAGACAGACAGACAGACAGACAGACAGATGATAGAGATACAGTTATATATCAGAGATTAGATATATATCTATATAGTTTATTTTGTTTGTGTGTGTTTACATACATATACACACACACACACACACACACACACTCCTTGCATTATTTATCGTGGTGTGCTGGTTATTCCCAGAGGAAACCTGTTAGAATTGTACCGCACCTAGCTAGTCAATTTTTGAAAAGTCTTATAACTAATCTTTCTAAAGTGGAGGGGTTTTTTAAAAAAGAAAAAATATATTATTTATATGCAGAGATGTATTATAAATATAAACTTTTATAATTTACCATTGAGCCATGTCGCCATGTAAGAAGAAAATGGTGATTATTTGCCTGGTCAGGGATTTCGTAACGGTTTTCAAACCACAAAGTTATTTGCAATGACAACTGTTTTGTAGTGTAGAGCTGTGAATCCGGATGCCGCTTTTACATGCCTTGGAGTTTCGGGGGAGAGGTTTGACGAAATCCATACGAGCTACACAAGGATTAAAACTCACCCATATTTTATTTTTGCTGGTGGCTATCAAGAAGGTTCTGCCGAGCCGCTTTTCGCAGGAGCCTCGTTGGCGCAGTAGGCAGCGCGTCAGTCTCATAATCTGAAGGTCGTGAGTTCGAGCCTCACACGGGGCAAGCCTACTTTTT